TGACGTTAAACTGTGTAAGTAAACTGACTGTGGAAGTCAACAGGCACTCAGAAGCCCTAAAAAGGAGAATAAGTAATATTTTACAAGTTCACTAGTTCAGGGGTAAAAATACCTGAGAGACAAAAAAACTAACAAACCAAACATTTTCCTTGATGGGAAGATGATTTTCAAGGGACATCGCTGACAGACTGCCATAAACTGTAAGATTGAACAGTAAGACAGAGCAAGGAAACTAATCTGTGATGCCAGGTAATGAGGAATGCCTTCATGGGGCAGGAGGGGACTTCACCAAGGCTGCCACTTGCATGAAGTGTTCAGCAGAAATACATGCAGATACAAAGCATGGTATGTCCGTGCTAACCTTGTCATTAGGCTGGGAAACACTTAAATAGTATGTATCAAAAACTATAATGCCACTTAATTACAAACGTTTTACAACTGACCTCAAGACTTTAACTATAAACAAAAACAAATAAAATCTTGCAAACCCAATTTCAAAGTCACCATCAGGTCATTTATTACTCGAAGCCAGTAGAGTAAGAAACATCAATTCATATATATTTCTGTTGCTTGATGCCAGTGCTGAGTTGCTCAGCTACATGTTAGTAGACTGTGTCATTGAATTCTCTGCGACCTGGAAATTGATCTCAGAAGCAGCATGCCTCTGACCTGCCCCCTCAAATCCCTGAGCTACTGCTGAACGTTGAAACAGCTCTGCTGCTTCTGCACTTCTGACAACTCATACCTCAGCAGGGTTCTGTTCCTTGCTTCACACTGTGACAAGGGTTCCCGACATACATCCTTTTCCTTAAGCCTACTGTGCATACAAAGTTACACCACTGAATAAAGATACTGTGATAATTTTCAATGCTATTTAACATGTAGGCAGGTCAAGCCAAGCAGATCAAAGATGAGCTCACCCATACTGTTCACTAAGGCTGATCCCAGCCTTCAGAAGAGTGGAAGAAAGTTCTAGTATTTCCAGGTTTCTGAAACCTCCAAAGCTTTAAGAAGCCTGTTACACCTGACAGATATGAAGAACCACAATAAGCAGCACCCAGAGGAGCATGTGGCACACATGGTGAAAGCAAGTCAAAGTAGGTTTCAGTCTAAAGATCTAATCCTAAAGATTAATAATACAGGTTTCACAAGCAGTACACTCAGCCTATGATCAGCTATAGGTTTAGAATTATAAGCAACTAAACAAGAACAACCTGTAGGTTCTGACCTGAAGGTCTATAAATTACTATTGTGGAGAGATTATCTATTTTGAAATCAGATTATCTTTAACTAGAAATAAATCATCATGCTCATGTGAGGCCTTCATGCTAGCCACACTTGCTTAACAACAGGGCAGGACTCTAAAGAGCAGATGTCAACAGCACGTGCCTCGTGTTATTTTAACATCACATTTCTTTATTTCATGTATGTCACTTCCTTAAGAGGATAGTAGTTAAGCCAAGCTACTCCAACACCACTTCAGCTCAACTGTGCATCCAGTTATATGCTTAGCTTACCAGAATGGGAGTAGCAAGTCCTCAGTTAGTTGCTGATGTATTACTTTATCAAAAGGTCTTAGGAAAACAGCAGCTTCAGAGGAAGAACACATCACCTTTCCCAGCCAGGCTTATCAGTGTATTTATACTGAGGAAGACACATATCAAACTGTCACAGTTTGATGTGCAATAGCTTTCCCTCTAGAACATTATATTATGACATTTTTTCCACACAGGAATGTGCAGTTTTATGGAAGAACTGCTGTTCCAGTTCTCTAAATGGACTCCCCAGACTTCAGGCTTTTGCCCTAGATTTAGGTCACTAGTAATTGGACATGTGTGGAAAATGCAGAGGCTCAGCTCAGTGTTGCTTAATTAATTTCTTAGTATGTTGATTTGGCAGTCATCCTATGAAACAGAACAGTTGGATATTTAAACATGTATTGCAGAATACATTATGACAATAGCAAGCATCCCAAAAATAAGCAAAACTCTTTCAGTACTAGCAAAATAAATATTTTAAATTGCCTGGAGTACACAAAAATGAAACCTCAAGATGAAGCACAGAATTGACAGGTGCCAAAGTCTTGGCAACTGATGGATCAGAATCAACTTTCTATCTGGGACATTATATTCCCAAGCAACTGGTGAGTGCACCAACCACCCAGTAACGCCGCCGTGCGACAGAGAAAGTTCTGTGCACAATTTCGATCTGTTCCGGACACCCTTCAGTATTGCAACTGGTCTTGGAGCAGCATCTTTTCTTTCTTCATGATGAAGAAAAGCTCATCCACTGAAATAAGAATTAAAGCTCTTTCTGCTCCCATAAGGCTTCTGCCACAGATTTTTAGTCAACTTGCTCGATGTTTTTAAAACGCTTTTTGAAGGGCACAGAACAGCCTCACTATGCCAAGTCCTGACCATCTTGCCAATCTTTCTGTAGGAGCTCACTTTGCTACCATCTATTTACTTCACCACAGGTCCCATGTGCTTCAGGTAGTTTTGGCTTAAGCCTGAACAGCAAATGAGAAGAGACAGCTGCCTCTCTGCAGGAACTTTTCTCACTGGTGACCCTGGGGGCTGAGTTGGCAGTTATCTGGACTTCATAAGATGGCTGCTCTACAAAACACTCTTATAAAACTCTATTCACATATTAGCTGGAGCAAAATATTTACTACAGATCTGGCATTTTATTGGTAGAACTAACACACCTACCTTGATGTAATATAAAAAGGCATCCCAATTCCTTCCACTAAGGAATGAACTCTACCAGCAAAAAGGGCCTGAGAGTGAAATAAACTCATTTTAGCAGTACCGAAAGGGAACATATCTTCTCTTCAAAAGCTTTGTATGCAGGGGCACTCAGAAGGTTGTTAAAGTAAAAACAACATACAACAATATTTGCAGAAAAGCTAATATAATCTTTTGAGTCTATAAACTCTAAACAATAAATAAGAAGAGTGTACATGGCACACCAGAGCAGCTAAATATTAAAACAAGTACAAATGGATAACTTACCTATATTATCAGCAATAAATTTGTTTCACTACTGTGATACAATACAATCTTAATGTACAAGATGTTTTTGCAAAGGAAAACCACAAAACCAAGTAGATACAGATGGTGAGGGAGAAGGGCAGACAATAAATAACAAGGCACAAAAAACCTCTCTTGCTGCAACCCTGTAAGGCACCACTGTGCAAATGTGAAACTATCGTAGTGGAGAAATTCTGAACGTGTTTAAATGACTGGATAATGTATTTTAAAGATGACACTGATTTTATCTTCAGAATAAAAATAATTACAAAGCTTTATTTACAGCTATAGGCTTTTAAGAAACAAATTAGTGAAATGGGTGAATTATTACTCAAACACAGGAGGCATAGTTAATTTCTACCAGACAGCTTCACAAGTGCAACATGATCATGACCTGTGCTGGCCTTGTAAGAGTCCTGGATCTGATATGGTGCACAGGGAAATGCTGCCAATTATGTCAAGTTGTGTGTGACACACCAGTAATTTTAACAAAAGGGATTAGATTAAGAGTAAAGTAATTTTCACTTGTAACCAAAAAATATTTATATCCAGAGATAAATAGTCAGTAGCATTAATCTAACCTCATAACTAAGGAAAGTAATACTTCTAAGAACTGGGCACCAGCACTTTTCTTCCCTATTATGTTACCTACTCAGAAAATCCATTGAGACAATCTTCAGCAAAAACCTTTTCCCTTACTACAAGGTTACAGATAGACAATTAGGCTTACTAATTTAACTTTCCCTCCTTTTTTTTTTCTTTATGTCCCATGATCTCTATTGCATCTTGCTAAAGTTTTTGCCCTCCCTCCAGTTACATAAAAATCTCCATACTTAAAATACACACAGGCTGGACAAGCTTTTACAAAATGAGGGGATCCCACTAGTAACCAAAATTTTCTTCTAATGCAAGATTTAGGAGGCACTCAGCTTCTCATGAGCTTCAGACACATGAATGACTTTTCTTTTTCACCATAGCAACAGTGTCAGTAGACTACAATTCCAAAATTTCTGCTTCCATTCTTGCAACTGGAACAACTATTGAGCACATAATAAACAATCTGAAGGAGCCTCACTGTTCAGTTACTGGCTAAGTTTTGTTTCCTTACATGACACGTTTTTTACTCTTCTTACTCTAAACTTCAATAGCTTGCCACAAATCAAAACATTTAAGGTCAGACAACCTGTAGCTTCAATGATCCTCAGTCCACTGAGCTGCCATAGAGGAAAATCAGGCCTTTCTTTTAAACAACAGAGGAAAAATGGAAGAAAGAACAGTCTTCAGGGATAAGTTAACATTCATATAGCTATCTGCAGAAAGTCTGCCAGCTTAGGCATGCTTCATTCCTTATATTCAGTCCTGTCTTAAGGAAATAACAATTTGAGCAAAAGCAATGTAAACAGAGCCAGGCAGACTGCAGTAGTAAAGAACAACAATATCATTGATCTGACAGGTTTAAGGCCAACTATTTATGATTTTAACTATATCGCACTTTTCCATGGCACTTAATACACTGAAAGTTAGTACTGTGAGACATTAAACAAGGGTATACATATTCATATAATATATACATGTAGCTTGAGTTCCTAAAATAGAAAGTTCAAGTTTTCTTTCCCAAATAAAATCAATTCATGAAAGACCACTTGTGTTTTCCTATACTGAATAAAGTAATATTACTATTTTAATCAATTTAGTGCAAACTGACCTCAGTCCAAAGACCTTCCAGAAACCATTCCTTGATTTTTAGTCACTACTTACCAAATGCCCCTATTTCTTTTAAAAGACAACTAACACTTTTGTTTTCCTTAGAAGAACAGCAGACACTTGACAACTAGCATGCTGTCCTAGTGTATGTTAACAAAACTTGCTGATATACAAATCATATTTTGGTCATGCAGCACAGACCCATCCTCCAAATAACCCATCACTTGATTTAATCAGTCTAGAAGAGGAGCACAGAGCCGAAATTTAGCAGGTCATCCTGGCCACTCCAAACTCCAAGCTGACAACAGCAGGCTCAGCTTTCGAGAACTCTTCCACGAATTCACTGTAGCGATTGTCCGCTGTGTTGCTGCCCTCTATAGTTCTCACAGCATCACTCACAGGGAGCAGTGGCTGCTCTTTCTTGAAGCAAGGAGGGGTCTTCAGTGCCGTGGGTGCAGGATGCACAGACTGCTGATGTTCCTTCACCAGCACTTCATCTGACTGCCCGTTTCTCTGCTTTATTTTCTGAAATACAGAACAGTTACTAACAGTAAGTATCACTGGTTTACTGATAATATTCTGCTTTGAAAGGAAATGAATCCTGCTCTTTCACTGCCCACCTCAGCAACTGCAGAATCTTCTATTACAAACAATAAAACTGTTACATACTTAACCTAGGGTATTTAGGCCACTGGATAAGACAATATTGTCACATGCACCCCCAGTTTACAGCAAATGTTACAAGCACTACATGCTTAAAATCTGCAGCTGAGCAGAAGAATTGCCTGTCAATGGCTGTACAAGAGAGGTTCTTCCAGGCTTGCCCCTTGTTTGGTTGCAACCATCATGGGAATACTTTCTAGAGTATGGGCAGAGGGAGACAGAGTTTAGTACTATTAGCAAACAGGGAGCTTGCAAGAGACCACAAATCCCTTAAAAAGCAGTTTTATACCTAAGCCCTTATGTCCTTCCTAAAAACCTTCTAAAAGACTTTTCCTTTATATCTGAAAAACATCAGTACAGTTTGTTCAAATGCATGAAGAATACAATAAAATATGTCACCTGGAAAGAAAGACTAATAGAAAGAACTTATCCTGCAAGCACTGAGCAAGAGAAGAGGGAAGATTTGGATTAAGTGTTTGTTTTGTTAAAATTCAAACAATCTCACCCAGTAACTGAGAGCTTGAACCAGTTAACAGGACTGATTTTATTTTTTTTGTTAATGTATTTGTGCTGGATTAGAACTGAGACAGAGGCCACGAGACCTTGGTGTCTTTTCACACCAACTTTTTTGAAGAGCAATATGAAACAGCAATATGAAAGTCTACATCAACATTACAAGCCACTATATCTCTCCATCACTCAAGCGAAAAATGCGGGCTCAGGTGAATTTAACGCCTCAGAACAAAGTTCCAGAAAACTAAAAACTCAGACTTCACTTTACATCTTGCTTAGTCTTCAGCTTGCTTCAGCTTGATTTTTCACCTTGCTGCTTCAATTGTATAAAATTGGTAATATACAACTGAGACCTGAAACAGTTTAAGACTAAGTGACCTGTATTCATCACATGACAATAGGATCAGTTTAGTAAGTATTTCCTTCTAGAAAACCTGTGCCTCCCCCTTCCTCCCTAACAGAACATACAGGACTTGTCTTACCATTTCTAGCCACACATAGAAGTAAAACCGATAACTGGAAAACTTTTGCATTTTTTAAAACACATTATCCTTAAGTTTAATCACCTTAACCAACTATAAAGAAGCACCAACAAAAATCCACTGATCAAGCCAAACTATAATTAAGTAGGATACCCTGTTCAGTCTTTCTGGCTGTTTACCTAGTAAAGCTCATTTAGAGAAGACTGGTCTCTGGATTAGGCCCTGTTTTCACGTAAGGATTACAATGTATATGCTCTATAATTATGGTAAATTACAACAGTATGCACCTGCATACAAAGTTAAAAGAAGGAAAATACTGCTTCCATTCTAGTAGCTATAATGGAAATAAAATATTTTCAGACTCCTTGATTTAGCAACATAGCTGTAGCTCTGATGGGTACCTTGCTATGTAAGGTATGTCACATAAATTTAACCTACATTAAGCCATCTTCAATAATGCTTTGACTGTAGGAGCACTTTTATATGATACAATTCATCAGTAGAGTAAAATAAATCATGCATAAGAGCAAAACATTGGCTGCATAGTCCAGCATTCAGCACAGAAGCATACAGTGAAAGTCAAAGTCAACATTACATAAAGTGCAAGGCCATACAGTAGTGACACTCACATGAAAGCTAGCAGCATCATTACAGACATTACACACATCTCTCTTGCAATACTTACAGCTTCCAGTTCTTTAATGTCTTCCTCTAGTTGTTTATTTTGTTCACTCATGTTCATGATGAGATTGAGCACAGACTGCCTGGGATGCATACTTCGATCAAACTGATGGTACATATTTCTCCAAAACCTGCATGAAGCAGATGTAGGATAAAGACAAAATCCTACGTAGGATAAAGACAAAACTGAGTAAGAGCTAGTGTATATAATTTAAACTTACTTAAAATTGAATGACACTGTATTAGGCTCCAAAAGAGTTAGTTCCGGAGAAAAGTCTGGATTATACAGAGGATTCTGGTATTTTTTTTGTTCATCCAGAAGGAATGACCACAAGGAATATGTCTTCTCTTTTAATCTTAAAGCAAGAAGAGATCAAGGTCAAGACACTGACTGCAAGTGAGAAACAGAAGCTGTTCAACAGAACATAATAAATTGATCTTAACTTTTAAAAAGTTACCAGAAACAGTCAACAATCTTTAATTAAAAGCATGCTGATGTTGGATAGAACTGTCAGTTTTGGAAGAACTACTGCTTATGCTGTGCAGGTTTTGCCTAGTTGTAATAAACACTTTTAAAATGCAGTTTGAGACAAAGATGAACTGATGAAAACTTTTGTAAAGTTTTCCAGCTGAAAGCATTAGGAGACACCCTATTAATATTTTTAACTGACAGTAATTGGTCTTGAGCCGGAAAGAATTTTAAGGTTACCCAAGAACAGACTCGGGGGGGGAATGAAGTGGTAATACCAAACTTAAGCTTACCTATTGTCAGGAAAAAGAGGAGAAAGAAGCCTTAACTTTCCCTATTAAAAATTAGCATGGGATTTTCTCCCAGAATTAGAAAGACTTTCTTCAGTGTGCAGAAGCACGAGAAGCAGTGCAGTTCCCTTATGCAGTTCAACATCATTTTCAGTACTACCAATTCTGTCTCTATTTCTATTCAGAGCCTAAAATTAAGAAAATTCACAGGAGTTCTTAGACTGCCACAATAAATAAAATACATATTACAATATGTCTGCTTACTTCAGCTCTTCTCTCTCTTTTTGGCAGTTTCCAAGGAAGTTACCAAACTGGCATGAATGGACATGTTCATGGATCTGAAGGAGGAAAGCTTCATTGTACTCAAAGGCTTGTGGAAACTGCTCAGTCAGATTCCATACACTTTCTAGAAACTGAGTGAACACTGGTGAGATCTCTTTAGGATCACCATCCAACTGACCACACCTGAAAAAGATTACAGAAACAGACTGAAACTGGTTTAAGTTAAAAATCAAAAGAGTCTTAGTTGCACTTGCTTTTAAATGACAGCACATTAATTTGACACTAGCTGTTGTCTGGAGATTAATCACCTGACTTTGAGAACTGGGGTAAGTTTTGAATAGAAGTAAGTCTATATTTAAACTGTTTTTCTGACTTGTAAGTGATCATACATCTGTATTCAGCATTGAAGAGCAACATAAGACAATTAGGTTCCTTTGTGTCTGTTACTTCTATAGTCAACATTTGGACTATACCAGCTAAAAGATCATGAATAAGCAGTAAATAGCAGGCAAGACTATTGGCATAGCTAATAACAGGCAGATCAAAGCAAAAAACAGAACTCCTACAATACAGGACTTCTAAAGGTAGGCATGACTTCATCATTAAAAGTAAACAAATGGAAACTCACTTTTAAGGATATCAAAACTAAGTGCTTCATATTGTCTAGATAGCTGGGACGTAGCTTTAGGTGGGTTCTGCACCACCCATGCATACATGCTGACCTAGCTGAAATCACTGATATCTAAGAATGAGGAACCAGCTAGAAGTTTAGTTTTATAATATAAATTATCCAACAGGTATTTGAATAAACAGCAATATACAAAGTGCACCATCTACTGAAAATAGCTTATGCATCGCAACATTCCTAGCAACATTGCAATAGTTTAACATCCACTTTTGTTTTTAGGAATACTTAGTTCAGTTCACTATATACATTTTACTGTACTGGAAGAGTGAACTACCTGTCAGAGAATTTGTGCCCAAAAGAGATCCAGTCTTTCTCTATCAAGACCTAGAGGGTAAAAAAAACCAAATCTCATGTATAATGTTAATCTTATCTCAATAGTATTAACTATATATTGCATTTTAATTTTGAGTACAAGAAACTATAGTAGGAGCGACTATCTGTCACATTTTAGTTAATTTTCTTTAAAGTCTTTCACAAGATATTTTCAAAGTGCAATTCTAAAACCAGTAAAAAATTTTATCAGGTTGAAAATCAGATAACTGCTGTCAAGCCAGGCCTGCTTTTAAGCATACTAATCTTGTATGACATCACTGCAGGATAATCTACCAACTTGCAAAGAATTGCAAAGTGCAGGGAAAACTTTACTATTTCATTCCT